GCCGAAAACTCTGTGGCTTGAGGCTTGCAACCTGCTGTCTTAACTCTGGTTCCCTACAAAATAGGCTGTAGCAGAAGCTTCTGCGCCAGTAGGTCATGGACAAATATGATCACAGGACTGAAGGGAATGGAGAGAGGCTGAAAAGGAGAGCACTTGCAGGGATGGTGCTTCCAGCTTGGCCACAGCTTTGCAACAGGTTAGTTGTTCCATCAGGATGCCCTCACAGAACCCCTATGCAGTATTTGCATTTCTGAACAGTGCAGCAGGGGTGGGAGTTGCTAATGCACAAGTGAAAAATGGCAAAATGAATCCACAGACCCAATATCCCATTGTCAAGATCAACTTCCCTGCATGCCTGCACCTCATCCCAGTGGGGAGCCCCGGGTGGAGGTAGAAGGTGCATGGTGTGTGTGCTGAGTGTAGGGAGCAACAGGCGGGGACCCTTGGCTGGCAGAAGCAGCTGCCTGAGTTCACATCTACAGGAGCAGCTCAAAGTGAGTCCAGGCCCACTCCAGACGGAAGGGTTCAGTGTGCCTGATCAGCACTGACTAGTGGGCAGCGTGTGCATCCCCAGCCCTGTGGCTCCCGGTCACATCTTATCCCAGCTCTAGTGACCTGCCACTAAACTCGGCAGCCTAAGGCTTAGAGTCCTCTCCCAAGTTCAGCAGCCAAAAGCTAACAGAGCCCAAACAGGCTGTTGGCTCCCAATAAATTGCAGAGACACAGTAAAAACCCCACACAGCTGCCTGGTGGGCATAAAGTCATCTGCCCTGGCCAGATCAGAGGCCTCAAACTTGTATCTTTGTAATGTTGTACCTTTGTAACTTCTAGTTCTCTTTTCATTTTTCAAGGTTTTTGTGCCAAACATTGATGTTTGAGTTATGCACATGAAGCCGCAAGTACCCTCTGCAGAGGCAAGGGCAAGTCCTTTGAAAACAGGGCAGAGTAGAACATGAGCATCTGTGGGCCGCTCTTGACCACAAGAAAGGAAAACAAAAGAGTGGGGCCTCATCATCCATATTCTCCTGTGAATGCAACAGAGAGATTGAGTCTTGCCTTGGTGAGTGAAGCAGAGAGAGGATAGGGGAGTTATGCTAGAGGGAGGGGGGGTGGGGGGAAGCACAGGAGTGGGGAAAACACACTGCTTTGTAACATCCCCAAACTGAAGGTCCTCATGTCAACATTTCCTAAAAGCTTTCTCTGCTTTGGGGGACATGAGCTCCTGAGGCCCAACAAATCTGAAGTATGAGCAATTCTCTGGGAGTCCTTCCGTGGCTGGGACTGGGGGCAATACCAAGCGCCCTATGCCCTCTCCGCATCACTATCTCCTCTCCAGTCACCCTCCCCCCACACCCCTTAGCTGTAGACATCAGCTGGCAAAGCATGTGAGGCACCTCCAAGTGCTCACGGGAGGTGTGGCCACTTCTTACTCAACCCCGGGGATGTGTCTAGAAGCTCCTTTTCAGAACTTGGAAGACTTATAAACTGTGCAGCTCAGCTTTGCAGTGTTAGGTGTTATTCTGGGAAAAGAGGAAACTTTCCATTCAACTTTGTAGCGTATCCATTTATTCAATATGAATCGTGCACCTATGATTTACCAGGCCATGTGCTGTGTGTTGGGGGTGTTGTGAGGAGGGAGGGAGGGTTTCAAACTAGAACCAGTTAGTCATTACGGAGGAAGTTTTAAGTGGTCCAGGGAAAGAAACAGACACTTACACAATCATTTGAACAGACACATGCACACATACCTGAACACACACACGCATGCACACGCACATGTACACACACTCCTATGAGGACTACAAGATATACAGATGCAAAAGGTTAATGGAAACCAGAGGGGAAAACAAGGCTTTACTGAAAGGAGGCCTTGAATTAGGCCTTGAAGGATGAGTGAGATTGACAGATGGGGAAAGAGGGGAAATCACTTTGCACATGCTGTGCACAAGGCTGCTTGAAAGGAGGGAGTATGCACAGGAAATGGAGAGGTTTGTGCCAGAGAAACACAAAGTATGTGTCCTTGTCAATTAGAGGATACTGGGTGATGAAGCTGCTATGAGATGGAGGATGGAACCAAATCATGCCCATGAGAGGACTTCAACTCTGGATAACCGAATGATTTCAGGCAGAGGAATGAATAGGGCTGGGTTTTGGAAAGATCATACTAGCAAGTATGTTGAGGACAGCTGTGCAAGGATCAAATCTGGAGGTCAAGAAACTAGTTATGGGGCCTCCCTGGTGGTGCAGTGGGTTGAACGCCATGCTGTGAAGCTGTCCACAGCCTTGACAGTGTGGGTTCAATCCTGGCTGGTCAGCGAGAATCCCACCTGGTGCTGCAGACCTCTCCTGTCACACCCGCTGCTCCCCTCAGCAGTGTATTTCTGTCATCTTGCCTGTTCTGTTCCCCACTCTGTCTCTGGTGAATCCTCTCACCCTCCTGCGCCTCTGGCCTGTACCCCAGCTCTTGTATAAAAATAAATAAATCTTAAAAAAAAAAAAAGAGAGAAACTAGTTATGAACTAGAGAAAATACCTGGTGGTGGGTGAGGACAGGGCAGTGACACTGGGGGCTGATAAGAGGACATGGTTTAAGAGACATTTAAGAAACAATATTTGTATTGGAGTGGGTGACCGATTTAATGTAGGGACTCAGAGAGGGTGATTAGCTTCTGTCTTGGATGACAACGTAGAGATGGGTACTTTCAACTAACAAAAGGGAGAAAGAAAGGAAAAGGGAAGGAAAGAAGGAAGGAGGGAGGAAGGGATGCACATAGGAGGGGAAGCAAACTCTGTGAGGACCACTGATCTTGTTTATGTTGTATTTGCTGGCCAGGCAGGTTTTGAACAAGCTATAACATTCATCTCAAACTGACAGGTACACTTTTTAGAAATGATTTTATTAGTATTCAAAAAATTTTGTCATGACATGGCATATATTGCATTTCTCTGGATTAAGAGGAGTAGGTCAAGATAAAGATGACTTTGTGCAGGTGATGTTTTTTTATTAGGGGACTAACAGGCATTCTCTCTGACAACCATTCACTGAGCACCACCTGAATCCCAGGCACCATGCTGAGCTCTGAATATACATGATTTGGACCTGGATTTTGCTTTTAGGAACTCTCAGTCTTGGGGAAACAGAGTAGAGTCCACAGGCCTTTGTGATAGAGGAGTGACGCAGAGGAGAGACACTGTCCTGGGTAGAGGGAGTCCAGGGTTCCACTTAGCGTGGGCTTGGCCAAGCTAACTGCTGTTTGTTCATTGTATGGTTTGCTGGCCTTTTCTGGTTCTCAAATTCTAACTACCAAGTTAGAGGGTCAGTCTAGATAAAAACTCTAAGTTCTTCTGAACATCAGCCATTGGTGATCCTGAGTCTCACTGTGTGAGAGAGCTATGGGAGCCCAGAGGAGACACGGGCTAATTCTGGCAGGATGATATTTGATTTGAGAATCAAAGAATGAGCAGGATTCCAGCAGATGGAAACAACAGGGAAAAGCCTTTGAGGAAGAGAGAGGAAAAGGTGTGGTAGGGAACGGAGACTGCCCTGTGACTGGTGCAGGGTGTGCAGGGCAGAAGGGTGGGAGAAGCTGGAAAGATAGGTAGGTGCTGCTGGGTGAAGGAGGGTCTTGAATGACCTATAAAGGATTTTATTCCAGGGCAATAGTCCACAGTAGGGGGAGTGGGTGAGGGTCAAGATAAGGTGCAACGGGCGTCATGAAAGTGGAACAAAGCACCCAGGGTCAGAAGTTTTTCTTTTCATCTGAAAGTAAGAGGCTTGAGCTGGGGAAACAAAGATGGCAGCAGTTACTTTCCCTAAACTGTCTGGTTGATGAAACCCAGCATGTGGCAGAGAAGTGCTCTCAGCAACCGTAGCTGGAGGTGCTCTAGCAGGAGCATGACATGGACACAGCATGGTCTGTGTGGATGACCCCACGGGTTAGGGGGAGCGGGAGCTGCAGCAGGAGCTTCCACAGTTCTCCATCAAGACTGCCAGGGCCCAGGACTCAACATCATGTGGGCTCTTGTTAGAAATGCAGGATCTTAGCCTCCCCCGGATCCACTGAATCAGAATCTGCTTTTTACAGTTTGTCCACATGATTCCCAAGCACATTAAAGTGTGAGAGGCCTTCTTGCCCACTGAAGAGAACTTTCTCACTCAAACTCTTTCTCTTAATTTATTTCTGACTCAGGGAAGAGAGAACACTTCCTGGGTTTCCTAGCACACTGGATCATAAACCAGTTTGAGGGTACGAAAGCTTCACAATCACCCATAGTATAGTATTCAATCAATCAATCAATCAGTCAGTCAATCAGAGAGCACCTCCTGTACTCCAACAGGCACTTGGTCTGTGCCCCTGGCTGTCCTGGCCACAAAATTGCTGGTTACTTCTGGAAGTGTGGAAAGGGTATGGGACCCAGGGTGTGAAATCCGCTTATTTGAACAGGTAAATACTGTCATGAGGGCAGGAGAGAAGTTATGCTGGTGTCGGTGCAGGCCTGCATGCTTCAAACAGATGTGGGTGTGAAGTGGAGTGCCCTCACGGAGGGGGGGCCATAACCCGTGTGGGGTCAATGTGTCCGGGCCGTGTGCGTCTCACTGGGCAAAGCCCCACTGCAGCCTACCAGGAGACGGCGCCTGAGAAACGCTAAGAGCAGGGGCCCATGGTGGAGCTGAGGAGTCCTCAGTGAGGAGTGGAGTGTGGTGGGAGGAGGAGGACTCAGAATAGTGGCCAAAGCTGAAGCCCTGTGAAGAGGCAGGAACATGGCAGACACTGGGTTGGAAACAACGTGCCTTAGATAAAACACCTGGAGAGTAAGGCTAGAAGCTGGGACACAGTCAGAAGTCACATGGGGCCCTGCGCTCTGGTTACACTGAGACACAGAGGCTATGGGGTGTGGCCTGGGGCAGCTTAAATCTTCCTACGCCAATGTCCCCTGACCCCAAGGATGGCTTTGGGGTACAGAGGCTGAGACTGCAGTCAGGGGGCTGGATGTGTCAACTCATCTGTGAGGAGCAGAGGAAGCCAAGAGCTGGGGCCAAGAGGCTGGGGTTGAAGCCACCTTCACCTGGGTGTAGATGACGGAGGAACCCTGGGGAAAGAGCAGACAGGACAGGTGAAGCCTGTGGCAGGGACCCACGGAGAGGGCGTGCGGGTCATAGAACTCACCGTGTTCTTGAGAAGCCCGGGTGCTGAGGTCGCTGTGGAGAGGAAGGAAATGGTCAGCCTTGAAAGGGCCCCCAGAAATCTCCCCTCCCATTTGCCAGCCCCCCATGGCTGTCTCCTAGGACCCTCTGCCTCCTGTAAGAGGCCCCCCCTTCTTGTGAGCCTCCCCCACTGCTGTTACTCGCTTTTTTTAAGATCTTCAGCCTCACAGTTTTGACCAACTCTATCTTCAACATCACTTTGTACTTTGTTCCCCATGCTAAGCTGCCAAGGGGATTCTGGGAAGAAAGACATCTTTTTTTATTCATGCTTTGAGCATAGATTCAGGTTCTGTCTTATGGAGAGGCAGCCTGGCCTGGGGCCGAGGCAGTGCAGGGGTTTAGACGGCAGAACACCTCAGACTGAGTCCTGGGCAGCTGTGCCACTTCTGGAGTCTTAGGCAAGTCACCAACACCTCGTGCTTTGGTTGTCATCTGTGTGATGGGGATAGTAGCATTATCTACCTGTAGGGGTGTTGTAAAGTTATATGAGCGTGTGTGTGTGTGTGTGTGTTTGTATACATGCGCATGCTCGCACATGATGTCTAACTTCTCTACTGAGAAGCATAGTTCTGAGTACTATAAATAAATACATACAGTGCTATAAATAATACATAAATAAGCATAATGAATATATGTGCACATTTACAATATTTATTTACTGAAAGCACTGCTGATGTGGTGTTAAAAGTTATTATTATTACCATGAGATACCATCTTACACCAGTGAGAATGGCACATATTAAAAAAACTAGCAACAACAAATGTTGGCGAGGGTGTGGAGAAAAAGGAACTCTTCTGCACTGTTGGTGGGAGTGCAAACTGGTCCAACCACTGTGGAGAGCTGTGTGGAGATTTTTGGACCTACTAAACATAGAGCTTCCATATGATCCAGCAATTTCACTCCTAGGTATTTACCCAAAGGACACAGAAACATCAATTCCAAAGAACACCTGCACCCCTATGTTTATAGCAGCACTGTTTACAATAGCTAAGCTTTGGAAACAGCCCAAATGCCCAAAAATAGATGACTGGATCAAGAAGATGTGGTACATATATACCATGGAATATTACTCAGCATTCAAAAAAGATAAACACATGCAATTTGCAGCAACATGGATGGCGCTGGAAGGGATCATGCTCAGCGAAATAAGCCAAAAAGAAAAAGAAAAATACCGGATGGTCTCACTCATAGCAGGAATCTAGAAAACTTAAATAAGGGACCAGGAAAATGAATAACTATAAGAAAGTGAAAATCAAAATCAACAAAAAACTATGAACCAGAGACACTTTTAGGGGGCGGGGGCGGGAGGGGAGGGATTGGGGTCAGAATGGGGGGGCTGCAATTGTATGGGGAATATAACAATAAAATTTATAAAAAAATAAAAAAAAAATATTTCACAACTTTTTTATCAAAATAAATTACCTAAAAAACAAACAAAAAAAAAAGTTATTATTATTGTCTTAAAAATAAAAAAGTTATAATTATTGTCTTAAAACTTAGTAAAATATGACATTCTTCAGACAGGGCTCTCTCCTGGCTTGGAATGAGAATCCAGGTTCCTTGGAACTGCCCTGAGAAGCAGAGCTTGGTCCACAACCTGTATTCTAGAGATAGTCTGTTGTGATTTATAGGCTGTGTGACTCAGGCCAGTCACATAAAAGCTCTTTGCTTCAGGTTCCTCACCTGTAAAATGGGAATAATAGCAATACTCACCTAAGGGACTGCAAGGGACAACGAGTTTGTCCATGTAAGAGATGGGCCACTGGCCAAGAATGTGGCATAAACAGCTGACTTAATGCAAGAGGGATCAGAAAACCAGAGAGGAAGCAGAACGGCTAAAATCACACAATACTTTCTACACAGCAAGGTTAGAAACACACATCTCCCCAACGGGATCACTCATTCTTTCCTGCTCCAAAGGAGAGACAAGCACTGTAGGTGGGTTGGAAATGCCAGTGACTCCGCCTGAAGGGTGACTTTGTGCCATGTTGGCCTCCACTTGCTGAAGAGACAGAGTCTGAGCCATGCGCAGGGGTCACTGTCAAAACCCCGGTCCTCAGGTCTTACCGGCAGGTTTGTTTTTCTCTTTTGTCCGGACTTCTGAGTATATCACTTCTCCTCTTTTAGGATTTACTAGGAAAGGAGTTGAAGTTTGAGAGGACTTTAAGGTATTTGCCTCTTTAAAGGGAACTTTAAAATCAGAGATCTTTTCCCAGCTGTGTGAGTGGGGACCTAGCCCTGGAAGAATGTCAGGGAGATGCAACATTGCTGGCTTTGAAGATGCATGAAGGGGGTCAGGAACTACAGAAGGGCTTCTACCTTCCCCACCTAGAGCTTTACCCTGGAAGGACTGGCTCCCACTCCCTGCAGCCCCTCCCTCAGTTCACCCCTCCCTGGGGTTCCTGTCCAAATGTGGGGCCCTCAGCTCACCATTGCTGTACACTGGCTGCATTTCTATCCAGCCTGGGACATTGTAGTAGGTGGAGTCTTGAGGGGCTGAGTCTGCAGAGCTCCTATGAGACAGAAACATTGATATTTTCCAGGAATCCTGAAAAAGTAGCTAGAATGATTATTTCCTGCTCATGAGTCTTTACTACAGGGTGGCTGTCAAGCCTGGAAACATAGATTAGCACATAACAATTGGTCCATCATTACAAATACTTATAGGGCAAATTCTGATAAATGCATATTATGTTTCCAGACTTTATGGTTGCTTGGTATGTACTAAGCACTGTGATAATACTTATACAATATTAGGTTGATGCTATTACTGTTTCCATTTTATAGACAAAAATTGGAGGCTCCAAGAGGTGAAGTGACCTACTCAAGACCATGGAAGCCAGAGAAGGAGAGCTAAGATTCAAACATGACTCCCAAGCCTCCACTTGAGAGTTCCAGACCTTGGAGAGATCAGCAACTGGAAAGGCTCAGGGCCACCCCAGAGAGCTGGGAGACTGCTTTCTTGGGCTGTCTGGGGACAGGAGTATGGGCAGTGCTGTGGCTTCTGCAGATGGGTGGCAGCCCCATCGTTATAAGCACCACCTCCTGCTGACAGAGTGGTCTCTCTGGGTTGCCAGGTTGTGTGACTCCATCTTCTAGGATGTCAACACAACAGGTGTTGGTTACATTGGGCAAGCCCAGAGCTTTCCAGGCTGATTAGGCTAAGGTCATTTTAAGTCAAGGATGAATTCAGTGGTGGTAGGGATCACTCAGACATTCAAGGCAACAATGGCACAAGCAAAAGACAGCTAACACTTGAAGCAGGAAGACAGATGGTATAGTTATAAATAAAATAAAAAAGAGAAACCAATATGGACCCATTCCTAGTCTAGGTAGCAACCAATCAGAGCAGGGAGGCTATTGAGAGTCAGGTGCATTCACAGTTAGAAGAAATTGAAAATACAGCAAACCACTCCTAGGATTAAAATTTGACCAATCACCTCTTGACAAACTTTGCACCAGTCAGAACTGCACTGACTGAAAATTTCATTTGCATAAAGCCACTCTAGTCTGTTCATTTTGTCTATATAAATAAGCTCCCCTCCAGCTCATTGGTCATACAGTTCAAGTTTTCTTTGTAACAGTGTAATCCAAAAAGAGGGGGCAAGTCTTCCGGCCTCAGTCTTGGGCTCCGCTTTGGGTCTAACCCTGTTTGGTTGGACGTTTACCCATGAGGGGATGGGTGACTGAGTGTTTTTATTGGAAACTATTATCCTTTCTTATCTCTTCTCTGTTACACACTAACTTTTTAAACTTCTACTGAAGGTCTTCTACACTAAGAGTATTTTTTGTCTTTATGAGGCAGATGGCAGAACCTATTTAGGGTGTGTAAAGCTTAGGGATTCCAGGGTGCCCCTCAGATGACCAGCTAATATCTTGAGTCTGCATCCCCTAGACGGCAGCCCTGCAGCCCTGGTGTTGGATTATGACCTGAAAGTTGTGGTGCTTCTGCTATAGTATACTCTTCTGCTGTAATATTCAAACTGTACCACTACTGGTAAGATGCTAGATCTGTGGCATATTTGTGCTGTAGCACTGAGAAGTTATTCAGCTCAACTTAGCTACTATAGTTGACAGGTGTGGACAAGAAGTTTCTGAAACTTGCTTTGAGATATGCCAAGGGAGATGGCAACAGTAAATGGACATAGGTGATCTCAGTGAAACACAGCAGCAAGCATACTCTCAGCAGTAAGCAGATTCAATTCCATTTTTATATCTTGTGGGCACTTATTGAGCAACATAGGAATACAGCTCAAATCTTACCTGGCAGGGTCAGAGGCAGGCCTTCTTCCTGCAAAAGAAGCATTGGAGCATTGGATCCAGGAGGAGGAGCCCTCATTGGGGACTTACAGGAAGCTCACCTAGACCTGTACAGCAGTCACTGTCCCTAAACCTTTCAGCTTCTTTACTACGCTCTATGGATATGGCAAGTTGGGCAAAAATTACTGACCTGAAAAATTACTGACCTGGAAAATTACTGACCTTCTAAGTGTATGGTTATAATATTAAGGAGAATTTGACACCCCACAGTCCTTTTACCTGGCGTTTGTAAAGATAGTTGCATGTGGGAAAATATTGTATCAACTATGAAAATACTCTAATTGAGAAAAAAATCAGTAATTTTTCAAGTCTTTTTTGGCTTCCATTTTCATCCTGTGTTTTAATCTCCTCTTCTATTCCTTGGGGGATCTTGTAAGGGTAGAGAGGGAGGTACTCTGCAGTTTGTAATGCTGATGAATTACATCTCATCAAGGTATCTTCACCTGATAGGGTGGTCATGGAAACTTGATGCTTTGTAAAGGCAAACTGTGGACAGCCTGAGGGAAAGGTGAGAGACTGTGGGAGCAGAAGTTGCTGAGAGACTGAGGGTGAGCCTGAGCCTAAGGAATGGAGCTGGGGAGGGCATGGACTCCAGTGAGGCCAGCCAGGTTGCTACCCACCTGCCTTCCTTGGGATCCAGTGATACAAGAGCAGTGCGACAACAGCAAGGCCCATCATGCTGAGCAGCCCCCCGGTGACACCTGTGACAACGGCACCGCTTCTGCTTCCTGTCAGTCCTAGGGGAGACCCTGTGCTTGAGCCAGAGTAGGAGGCTTGTAGTGTGAAACTGTGCTGGCCCCGGGCCCAGGAAAGGGGATGAGCCCTGGGCCAGGACTTCTGAGGCTAGCAGTTTAGTGGGACACAGGGCTGTGTGAGCCCTGAAAATAGCTCCTCCCTTTGTGTGGAAGCCCATCCAGGCCCAGGTTGGGGTTGAGGGTCAGATGGACACTAGGCAGTAAGAGAAGATGCATCAACTGATGAGCTAGCTCCTCATTGACTCCCTCTCTAGTCCAATTACTATCATTTCCAAAAATAATTTGAGGGCTCCCAGCTCCATCACTGAGAGGCACTGTAACATAAAAATTATCAGTTTGCTTGGAGGATTGCTTTCTCTATGTTGGGGTATGGGCCTAGGAAACTTACCTGTCATTAAAAGTGCCACCATATCACTGCGCTGGGCCCCCAGACCATTGTCAGCCTCACAGAAGTAGTTTCCAGAATGTTCTGTGGTCAGGGAGAGGTTGAAGGACACTCCTCCTCCAGAGGGGGCTGAGCTGTTTCCCAGGGTGACATTCTCATGATAAAACCGGTACAGGATGGGGGGAGACCCCCTCTGGGCCTCACAGTGAAGCTCCACCACGTCCCCCACTGCAGCCTGGGTGGGAGCACTGAGGGTGAGCACAGGGCGGGACACTGGAACTGTGGGAGGAAAAAGTCAATTCAAGTTCCTACTTCTAACATTGTCCATAAAGGAACAAAAAATGTTATAAACAAATGCAAAAGCCAGATTTCAATATTGGAAAATAGATTGAAACATGACAAACAAAACTAATGACTTTATATAAATACCTATCAGTGAAGAAAAATATCCAATATTAAAGTGAGGAAAGGGTATGAGTAACTGAAAACTCCAAATTATCAATATATATATCAAATGATTATCTTCTCCATTGCTAATTAAATATATTCAAGTAAGAGCACCTATTGGGTTGGCTAAGCTGAAGACAGATTACACCTATGAGGTTATAAATAAATTTAGGGGCACCTTGATATGCTGTAGGTGGGAGTGAAAATTGAGAGTTTGCCAAATTTAAAATGCTCATCAACTGTCATCCAGAAAATCTACTTCTGAGACTATTTTGTTTAGGGATATTGATATAGGATGTACAAATATATATTGATATAGGATGTGCAAGGATTTCTGTTGTAGCTTTTTGATAAAAGCTAAAAATTAGAGACAACCTAGTTGACTGGCTAATGAAGATAAAACTTATCTAAGATATATATGTAAACTAAAGCCAAGACAGATTTGTAATGAAAAATGCAAGTTGCATAACTGTATATGTGAGATGATTCTACTTTTGTAAAAAATTTCTATGCCTTTATAATATATTTGATTGTTTCTAGAAGAATACACATGAACCATTACTCTATGGACATAGGAAAGTGTGTGCGTGTAGTTAGAAAGAGACCTTTACCTTTCAATATTATGTCTTTTGTACCCTGTGATGGCTACAAAAGATGAAGAAATGCCATATTGTAGATTTATATTAACAATAAGAGAGACCCATGTTTCGACCTGGTTTCCCTTACCATTGCAGCTGTGTGTGTAACTATCAATAGTTACTTCACGTCTCTAATCTTTTTCCTTTCCTGAAAGTGGGGAATAAAATAGTCTCATTTTTATCCGCTCTGGTTTCTCTTAAATAAATGAGATAGTATGTGTCAAACACTAAACACGGGGCCTGGCCAAGGATTCAGCAAGTGATGATGGTGGTGGTGGTGGTGATAAAATAGTGATGATGATGGTGATGATAAATATTCTTTTTTTTATAGTTCCTGTTATCCATGACCCATATCTTAGTTCTAGAACTCAGACATGAGTTCTAGTCCTGTAGTATGACAGCCAGAGCAGAAATAACATGCATTCGCACAAGGGAATCATAGAAACAAAGGAATCGAGAAAAGTCAAAAATCGTGAGTAGGGAGGACAGGAGAGCTCGGGTGCTGGTTCACTGTGCTGTAAAGAGGGCTGGAGGATCACTCAGCCAGTGGCAGTGCCTGTGTGGCTTATCTAACTGGTAAGCATGTAAACCATATGGGAAGAGTCCCTGTGAATTTCAGAGGAAAATTGGCCGAGGTGGGTGCTGCCTGCCAATGGGGAAAGAAGGATGATCTGGTTGAGTGGGGGAAAAATAAAATCTGAAAAAATCAGATCTATTACCAAAGCTATAACTGCACTGACATCTTTAAAAGAAGCTGGATCCTGGGCCAGCATCCCTACGGGAAACTGCTCATGGAATTTTGCTTCTATTCCTTGTGACACCCAGGGACACAGACAAGAGAGATTAGGAATATCAATCTGTATTTGTTTTACATATCTCAGAGGGTGTTTGCCCATTCCTTCATGGTGTCTTGTTTCTCTAGGATGTATCTTAGGAGTAGGGACACCCAGTTTCTCCATTTTTATGTCTTCTTCCAGGAAATGTTGAGTCTGAATACTCCGTGTTCCCTGTGCACCAAAATCACAGAATTCTAGGGCTGGGGATGACCATGATTTCCATCCAGTCTTACTTTATTGGTAAGGAAATTGAGGTCAGTTTAGGAAGCCACGCAACTAGTTATCTTCAGAGCTTAGAGTAGTACATCCATCTCAACAGGCAGCAGATATTTGCTGCATCCTAGGTACTGCTAAACAGGTTTTGGAGGTTTGACTTGTAGGCGGTTATTACAAAACAGATTCAGCACTCACAAGAAGTAGTTTTCCTTTGGATATATACTTAATGGCAAGAGGGCAGGGGGCAGCTATGAGAAAGAACTTGACTGATGGGTGGTAATTTCCATTCTACTTCCCCCACTCTCCCCTCTGGGCTATGTCCCATTGCTTTAAGAATCACTTTGTTAACTAACTTGGACTGGATGTATCTCCTGAATGGTTCTGCACACAGCTGCCATTATATAGAATTTTCAATATGGAAATATGAGGTATATATCTGTCCCTGGTAATGAAAGAAGCTTAAGAGTAGAGACTCATTGGTGAGAGAAGAACCGAGACAAGGCATGGAGCAGAGAAATCCATACTCAGCATTCTTCAGTTTCTCTGTGCATCATAATTGCACATTGGAACAAAGTGCATGTTCTCAGAAGTTTTCTTAACATTTTTTTGGTGCGTTATTCTCACATTCAAGACTGATTGAACTTTGCAGCTGGGAATGTCCAAATTCCTGAGATTGTAACCACAGGAAGGATCCCGGCTTCTAAGTGGAGGTGCTGTAGCAGGTGAGTAGGAGAGCAGGAGCTCTTGACTGTGCTGCTGGGGTAGGGCCAACTCACCTGTGATGCTGAGTGTCACTGCTTCACTCTGCTGGGCCCTGAAGCCATTACTGGCCTGGCAGGAGTAGTTTCCCGAGTGTTCTGTGGTCAGAGAGAAGGTGAAGGATGTTCCTCCTCCAGAGGGGGCTGAGCTGCTGCCCAGAGCAACTTCTCCATGATAAAACCAGTACAGGATGGGGGGAGAGCCCTCCTGGACCTCACAGTGAAGCTCCACCATGTCCCCCACCACAACCTGGGTTCTAGGAACCCTGAGCGTGAGGACAGGTTGGGATACTGGAACTGGAGAAGAAAAATAGTTGCCATCAGCTCCTGTTATTTAAATATGTCCCTCCTTAATAATAACTTCTCAAACAGGAAAATATTTTTCTCATTTTTTAAGGACGATGTGACATCACTCAGAATTCAGTTCTAATTCCTTCAGAGCTGAAAAAAAAGCATTTGTGTAGTCCTACTTATAGTTCAGAGGAAGTGGGTATGCAATCCCAAACATGATTGGGGAATCTGAAAACAAATATTGAATTGAAACCCAGTTAGTTATTTGAGATGTCACAAGGCAATTGGAGAAAAGACATATCAATGCAATTGGTAATGGGGAGCTGAAGACACCTGGTGCTTCCCTCTCCAGGGACACTTCAGAGATGTGACCCAACATGAATGAGGAGTAATCAAGATATCTGCTCATTCTCATATTCATTCATTCATCAAAGATTGAGAAATGAGTAAGTCCTGGGAACTGCATTATATGCTGGGGATTCAACAGTAAGAAAGACACAGCCCCTGATCTCATAAAAACTACAATCTAGAGATGATAAGCTGCAATCAAGTAAAATACAAATACAGAATTAAAATATTGACAGGTGATAGAGGAAAAGAGATTGCTATGCTATATCTAATGCTAGAACCCAATCTAGTACTAGCACTGATTATGCCGGGGTGTTTCCTCATCACATGACAGTTGGAATACATCAGCGAAGTAGGAAGTGAAGAATGTACCAGAATGGCAACATGTTCAAAGGCTCTGAATTGGGATGAAGGTTGGAATTTTTGATTTATTGAATCAAGGTAGCAGCAGCACTAAGAGTCAAGTCTGGGGCTCTAAGAAAAAGGAGGGTAGAGGTCTACATGGGGCTACATGGACTCATAGGTGCTGATTCTTCTCCACAGAGCAACAGGAAGCCTACTTGTGTGCTATACAGGGTAGGAGAGGATCACATTTGTCTTTAAAACACCATTTTGATTTCAAGGTGCAAACTGGATTGCAGTGGCATGAAGTGGAGTAGAGAGTAGTTAGGTGACATTGCAGTCATTGAAATGACAGTGGGTTTGACTCAAGTGTGGTGGTAGAGATAGAAAGGAGTTAAGAAATGTTTAGGAATAAAATCAACTTTACTTTGATTAACTAGCTCTGAAGAGCAAGGGAGAAAAATGTCAAGGAAGACCCTGAGATTTTGCCATGTATATCTGGATATATATACAGGTGTCTCTCACAGCGGTAAAGACAGATAGAGGAGAAATAAGTCTAGGAGAATATCATGAGTTCAGTTTTAGAAAGGCTCAGGTACAAGAAATTTTGAGACATTTGAGTGGAGAAACGGCGTATCCAGGAATCATTTGCAGATGATATCCCCAGGATAACTAGGAGCAAGACTATAGAGAAGAAAAAAGGGTGCATGCAGGACAAAGTTTTGTAACAGAACACTGTTTAAAGTTTGTCCACAAAAGGAGGAACCACTAAAGGTGACAGGGAAGGAGTGGTAGAGAGAGGAGAACCAGGAGAGGAGAACTCCCTGGAGCTGAGGAAAAGAGGTTCAAGAAGGAAGAACTGGTAAGCAAATGGACCATTTCTGTGAGCCCGAGTAAGGCAAAGACTGAAGAATGGTCTTGGAGCTGAAGTCCTGATGTCACTTCTGATCTTTGTCAGGATCACTTTGGTGAAAAGTTCAGAAGGAAGCATGGAATAAAACCGAGTGGGTAATGAGGAAATTAGACACCTGTGCCCTGGCCCTCTCTTGGTGGTTTAGTGATAATAGAGCCATGACTGGGGCTTTTCTTAGATAGGAGAGAGACAGAGCATGTGAAGTGTCAGTAGAAAGGATCCTACAGGGTGGGAGATGTTGGGAAACATGGAAAATGGATACTTGGTTGTATTTTGAATTCGAAAGTATGGAGTCCAGAGAACCCATGATGTTCACCTTTCTTAGGGAGCAGAGGTCTCTCCTCCACGCCTGAGCAAGAAGGGCAGGCCACTAGATGATATAGAAGCACACTGGCTTTGGTGTGGGAGTCAAGGGTGTCCTTGTCTGGAGAGAGTAAGGATGTTAATGAACTGGGAGGTCTGTGGATGTCTGAGAACAATAGCGATTGGAGGAGTTGAAGAAGCAAGTAGAAGGACAGGAGGCTGTGGGCAGATAACTGGAGTGGGGCATGTGTGGGAGCACATGGCAGGTGTGGAGGGGAATGAACAAGAGAGCCATGGAGTGATAGCAACATGTGAAGTGGAGAGGAAGGGTGAATGAGGTGACAAGCCTGCATCGAAAGCGGGCCAAGAGGGAGAGAGGACTGCAGGATGGAACAAGGACTTGCAGGGGGCAGAAGAAAGAGGCTGGGAGTCTCTAAGAAAGGCTGTGGGTGGGAACCTGAACAGCTGGGGTCAGGGGCAGGAGAAACTGGATGACAGACAGGGGAACACAGCTAAATCTCTTCTGAGGTGAAACACCCTCTACACATTCCCTTCCCAGCTTGATCATAGTTGACTAAGATGGAGTTTATGTTTTGAAAGTCCTTACTTCTACATTAGGGAAGTTTTGGTCACAATAGGTTGCAATGTAGCTACCAGGAAAGACACAAGCAAAGGAAAGTTCACGTTTCTCAAAATGTAATATCCAGAACTCCAAGATGGAGGCTGCGCAGGCAACGGGTCTGCCATGATGTCACTCAGAAAATGGCCCCGTGGAGTCTAGAGCTCCAATGGTGACTACTGGTCACTGGTTATGTGGTAGTTGGAAGGTCAGCTTACCTGTGACACTGAGCAACACAGTCTCACTGCGCTGAGCCCCTTGGCCATTGCTGGCCACACAGGCATAGTTTCCAGAATGTTCTGTAGTGAGAGAGAGGTTGAAGGAAACTCCTCTGCCAGAGGGGGCTGAGATGCTCCCCAGGGTCTTGTCTTCTTGATAAAACTGGTACAGGATGGGGGGAGAGCCTCTCTGGGCCTCGCAGTGAAGCTCCACCACATCCCCCACCACAGCCTGGGCACCGGGAGTCCTAACAGTGAGGACAGGGTGGGACACTGGAACTGGGGGCAGAATGAGTGAGTTGTTACCAGTATCTTTTTTTAAACAGTTTTAAAGAAAACTTTATTTTAAAATTCAATTCTGTGGAGGTCCATAAAGTGAAAATGAAAAGTTTTCCATATCCTTTAATTTTTCAGAGATTACCTCTGTTGAGTATTGGTGACACTTTCTAGACCTCTTGCATGTATAATTACACTCACACATAGAGCCCCATTTAAAGAGCACACGTGCATAGGGTCACATGTGTAGCCCAGCATCCAACCTGATTTCCCCCTCAGCAACAGATCCTGGGCATCTTTCTATGTAATTACTTTAGTTCCATCTCATTTATTTTTAAAAATCAATTTGATTTTTTAGGTACAATTTGCACGCCATTTGCACATTTTTCAAATCTACAGTTTGATAAAAATAATCACAAAACATTCCATTATATGAACTTATCATTATACATCAAAGCAGTTCCAATTAAAGGGTGTTTAGGTTGTTATTATTTTTTTAAGTTCAGATAATACTACATTAAACAATCCTGCCTATATATCATTGTATATTTGTGCACCCATTTCTTTGAATAAATTCCTGGATATGGAATTCTGGGATGAGGGATACAGGCAGTTCAGTTAATGATACATATTGTTACACTGTTCTTAAAAAAATTTACATCAGTTTACACTTGCACTAACGGCATATAGAAGTTTGTTTCCCCACTTTCTGATAAATCATACTCTTATAAATTGCAGAGGTTCATTTTTATTATTTATTCTCTCCTCACCTTAAACTCTACAGCTATCCCATCTGAAAAATACACTCATTTTATTCTATGTGACCCTACAATCTACTAGTTGACTTTTCTTGAACCATTAGTGAGCTAAAATCCATTAATGATGAGGTACTGTCTGCCAAGTATTCAGAAATTATTTATAAAAATGTTAATTTTGAAATCCATAATTAATTTCCTTTGATTGTATTGAAAATATCTTGAAGAATTTTTCTTACTGTTTTCTATAGCAATTTCTCTTCTTAAAAGAATTCTGTATTGTGTCCTTTCTTAAACTTTTATTATTTTAAGTGCATAAATGCAATTCCCATATCAAACATACATTGCTTATAACATCCTCCAGTGAGTAAAGTTATACACAGAGTCTAGCATTTGTTTGAATCTCAATCTCTCTTTCTCTTTCTGTTTGTTTCAGTGACCCAAGGCTATTAGTAGAGTTCAAATGGTTTAGCTCATCAGAACACAGATTTCCCATGAAATCTGTTTCCTGTTTGGGGCATGGGGACACATTCCTTCAAAAAAATGTAAATTATTCTGCCAGAAAGTCTGCAAGGCTCACAGTGCAACATTTCAACTGACAGACCACTTGCTTGCTAATTTAGGGCTTATTTATTTCTGTTCAGTTGATATAAACAGATACAAATATCAGGGTTCTCCTTGTTGGGAACTTCCTCATCTCCCATCAGAATCCTTTTGTTCCTTGAATAACACACGCTGACTGAAGACCTACTCTATGCCAAGCACCTAATAGATACAGGGACATAGTGGAGACCAAAACTGATGAAGTGCCATTTTCATGATGCTTATGTTCTGGTATTAAGGGAGACAGACAGGAAACAGGAAATAAAGAGGTTTTAGATATTGCTAACTCAGAAAATAAAGCAAAGAATCGGATAGAAGGACTAAGGGCTTTAGGGCTGGGGACTTTCCTGGATATATTAGGTTCTGGCTTTGAAGTCTGGGTCTCAGAACATTTACATTTCTTATATAATCTCTTTATTCAATAATTTACATCATGGAAATGTCTTCACATGGTCATTCTTGATTTCCATAACCAAAGACAAGAGCTATCAACAGATCCTTTAGGTCTATATTCTCCAAGATAAGGGTATAGTGTTGGGTGCGCTCCAGGAGGCACATGAGCCTGAGACCACAGACCAGCAGTAGATAAATTCTGATCAGACCTGGTAGGAGTCTAGGACTTACCAAAGATGGAAAGGCTCACGACCTCACTGTGCTGGGGGCCAAAGCCATTGTCTCCTGTGCAGTGGTAGTTTCCAGAATGTTCTGTGCTCAGGGAGAAGTTGAAGGATACTCCTCCTCCAAACAAGGTTGAGCTGCTCTTCAAGATGACATCTTCATGATTAAACTGGTAGAAGATGGGAGGAGAACCTCTCTGGGCCTCACAGTGAAGAGTTACCAGGTCTCCCTCCAGAGCTGGGGTCCTAGGAGTGCTGAGGGTCAGGACAGGAGGGGACACAGGGACTGGGAGAGAGAAAGAATTAATCAAGTGCTGCTCCTGTCACTCACTGTGATTTCAGCAGGTGGTCAGTGAAGCGCCCTGTCTCCACTGCCCTGCCAGGGGCCCAGCAGCCTCCCGGGCTTTCCTCACGAGCTCTCTCCCGTCCTCCCCATGGATCTTTTCCAGTTCTTTCCTTTCCCTTCAGATATCTGGCCCCTTGCTAGGTGGCTCACTCCCATTTTTCCAAGGGAATGACTATGAGACAAGTCCCTTATCTTGCTGCCACCACACCCACACTCTCACTGCCCCGTCTCTTGCTATTTCCCTCTGTTCTGTTCCCCTGAAAGAGCTGTCCCTCATCCATCAGGAAGGACCCTCCTCGCTTCTTGACCCTGAAACTGAAATTTAGATGTGTTCAGTCCTCGCCACACTAGAAAAACAACAAAACAAAACAACCATATGTGCATTCAGTGTTCTTCCCAGTCTCCTCATCCTCTTTAGTTTTGTGAAGAAACTTCTGGAAGAAGTGGCCTTGCATTTATTGTCTCTGCATCATTACCTCCTGGTTTTGCTCACTACAACCTGTTTTTTATCCTCACAAATCTACTAAAGTTGATATTTTTAATGTTTATGATTACAATGATGAGACTAATAGATACTTCTTATGACAATATAGTGCTTGCTTTTAACTACTTGTCTGATGGATTTGTCATATAGAGCTTGTAAATTATATTCACAGTGAAACAGCAGTTATAAAGATCACAGTAAGTGGTGAAGGAGCAGCCACACCCAGGGATTCTGGCTCTTGTTTGTTTATTTCTGCTTAATATTCAGTGCTTTGTGGCTAAATTTGGGGTTGTCTTTCATCATCTATCAGCTCTGCTTGATGGAGTTGGTCTACCACGTTTTTCTTAAAACACTCTTCCCTCAGTTTCTGTGGTGCGCACATTCACAGAGGCCCTTGCCCCAACCTCCAAGTCCTTCCCTCTGAGCAGGGGCTGACTGGGTGGATCTGTCACACTGGACACTCCTCTTGGACTCTTTCCTCTATTCCTGGCTTCTTCCCAGACTATTCCTCTGCCATCCATTCTTTATCTGCACCTGGAGTAATATTCTCCTATATTACTTCATGGATCTCACTGCCATGGCAGAATAAGCAGCTAGTAACAAACTTCCTTTTTTAAAAAAGATTTATTTATTTATGCATACAAGGACTGGGGTACAGGCCAGAGGTGTGGGGGGAGGGGTTGAGAGGATTTACCAGAGACAAAGTGGGGAGCAGAACAGGCAGATTTACTGAAATACACTGCTGAGGGGAGCAGCGACAGGAGAGGTCTGCTGAGCCATATGGGTAGCTCCCTGGCTGGGGACTGAACTTATGCTTCAGTGTCTGGTAATAGCTTCATAGTGTTGTGACCTAACCCCTTGTGCCACCAGGGAGCCCCACAAACTTCCTTTTTAAAGCACAACCAGAAGTCATCTATAATCCACACACAATTCTCAGTACCTCACCACACGAGGACATCTGATGGACTCCCACCTTGCTCTCCCTTTCTCTTTCTCTCTCTAAATACGCACACACACACACGCACACACACACCACATACAATATGTATATATGTTCTCTCTCTATCCTCACCCCCCCTCCTTCTCTCTCTCCCTCCACCGTTTTACATTCCCATCAACCAAGGGTTCTCTTCCATTCACATCTTCAACACTTGCTTTACATCTTTTGCATATAGCCACTCTCATAGATGTGAGGAGATATTTCATTGTTTTGAGTTGCATTTCTCAAATAATAAGAGACAATGAACATCTTTTCATGTGCTTGCAGATCAACTGTATGTCTTCTTTGGAGATGTGTCTATTCAGATCCTCTGCCCACTTTTTAATTGATTGCTTGTTTATTTCTTGATGAATCTTGTGAATGCTTTGTATGTTTTAGGCATTAATCCCTTGTCAGATGCATGATGTGTAAATATCTTCCCTCACAGTAGAATGTTGTATCATTTTGATGCACTGAGCAGAAAATTTTAAATTTGATGTGGTCCTTTATGTTTATCTTTGCTTTTGGTTCTTTTGTTGTTAGAGTATGTCTCTAAACACGTTTCAAAGGCGGATGTCAAGGAGCATAGCATAGTAATTTATGGCCTCAGGTCTTACATCCAAGTCTTTCATCCATTTTGAATGAACTTTGCATGTGGTGAGGTAGTGGTCTACTTTCATTCTTCTGTATGTGATTGTTCAGTTTTCCCAACACCATTTATTGAAGAGAATTTCCTTGCTACATTACCTGTTCTATTTTCTTATTCAAAGCTTTAATTTCAATATCCTGGTCATTTATTTTATTTCTGAATACATATTTGTTTTTCTGAGTTTCACTGTCTATTTTTTGATGAGCTTTCCTGAATTTTCTTGTATCACTTTGGTTTGTCATACTGAATATCTTATACCTCTTTGAATTTATCATAGAAATTTTGATCTCTCTGATAGGAAGATCTTCTATGTTCCTGTGGTTGGGTTCTGCAGAGCTATTCCCTGTCTCGAGTTGCCATGTGTTATATATTTTTGTCTGCACATTTAGTTTCCCTATTAAAAAAATATTTGTACTACCAATTCAGAGAATTGAAATACTTTCACTGTTCCAGCTGGTGGCTATGTGACTTTATTTTTGTTTTATTTTGTTGTTTTTTTTTTGTTTTTTGGGTTTTTTTTTTGGTCCTGATGTGTTCTGTAGGTACTGTGGTTTTGCTGTGTGAGCAGGGTGGGGGAGGGTTTTGGAGGGGTCTAGCAGCTATCGTGAATGTGAATGTGAGGGGTGGGGTGGCTCTGTGTGTGTGGCATTGCTGTATCCCTCCTCTGAGGGGTCCCAGATCTGAGGTTCAGCAGTCTGCCATTGCCAGTTCACTTCACGAGATCAGGACCAGTCCCACAGGGTAAGGAAGGGGTGGTGTAGTCTAGATCACCTGTTGTCCTCCTTCTGGGGACCCAGGCTCTCTGGAGCACCCCAGCTACTTCCCATGGCCTTCACATGGGTCAAGAGTGTGAGCCTCCACACCATTTGGGCTCCCCCCTCTCCCAGGCTCTGGACTGAGCCAGTAGCCTTGCCCTCTGTGTCCCCCACCCTGGACCTCAGCCTCCAGACCTTTCTCTCCACCACTCCCCAACCTTCCTTTCCCCATCCAATGCACCTACATCTGCTCCATGTCCCTTCTAGTACAGTCTGTGCTGGTCTCTGAGTTGCAGGGTGCTTCAACCTGGCCCTGAGCCATGGGGTTTTTCTCAATGTAGTGCCCCTTGGTCAATTGTGCCATGTTCCTTTTGAAAGCAAAGTAAGGAAGCTTCTCTGTCATCATATTACAATGTCATCTACCCGACACTGTATTTTGGAAAACACTGTTCACAATAGCCAAAACACAGCAACAAGCTAAATGCCCCAAGTAGGTGATTGGATAAATGCGGCAGGCTGCACCTCCCATGCTGTCTCTTGACAAGGTCCGGGCACTGGGGGAGACTCCTGAGAAGCGGGGAGTTCCTGTGCTACCCCGAAGAGGGAAAGTTGTACTTCCCAGAAGAAGGGAGTTCTTGCACTTCCCAAAGAAGATCTGAACTAGGGAGTCTCCATGGCAATGCCTGCTAATGCTCTCCTCTTTGTTCTTGGTTAATGCCGAAGTAAGTTAGTTATAAATTGGCATATGAAAACCTAATTCAGACCCAGGTGACGATTGGCTCATTGTTCTTACGCATGAACTATCACAAAAGAAGTAAAAAATGTTAAAGGTGGGCCTCCCCGGTGGCACAGCGGTTGAGCGCTGGGTTGCGAAGCTGCCCTCAGCCTCTACAGCACCGGTTCGATCCCCGGCTGCTCCCCGGCCACCGGAGGAGGGTCCCACATGGTGCGCAGACCTCTCCTGCCGCCCGCTGCTCCCCTCAGCAGTGTACTTCGGTCCTTCTGCCTGCTCTGCTCCCCGCTCTGGCTCTGGTGAATTTTCTCACCCTCTGCCCTTCTGACTGTACCCAGTGCTTGTATAAAAAAATTGTTAAAGGTATAGTTAGGAAAGAAATGTTTTGGCCCTGAGAACTATGGAGAACAAGCTGCCCTGAACCAGCTGTGCTTGGAAACCATAGCCTAACCGGGGGGGTACCTGTTTGCGTCAATACCTGAGGTCAATAATTCGCAGGCCGTGTGGAGGTTAGGAATTTCTAGTTAAGAGTTAGACTTCAGTAGAACTTATATAGATTTGATGAGTTGTCTTAGACTACTTTAAAGTAATTAATATATTAACCAAGTTAATTGAGTACTAGGAGATAGATTGATTTTAGTAATTGAATATAGAATAGGAATTTTACACCCACGTTAGTAATTGGGAAAGTTTAAATGTTGCCAAACGTTGTGCTGTTGATCATGCTAGTAAATGAGCTGTACCTAGGAAACTAACTGTTCTTAGGTTACCAAAGAAATGGCCTACAGGTGTAAGGCCAAGGGAGTCTTTACATGATCATGAGAAAATATGTATTGATTGTCTTTGCTCTGCTTCAATGCTTACGCTGATGTAATCTCACCGCTTGCCTTAAGGTATAAATAAAGACCCGCTGAGACCCTCAGCAGGAGATGCTTGCACCAGAGAGGGTGTCTGTGTCTACCTCACCTCTACCTCGCTCCACTTCCCCTCAGTCCTCCGAGAGAAAACTTGGCCAACGCTGTCCTCTCCTCTCTGAGACCACTGACACAACTTCTAGCTGGAGCTGGTCTCCAGCAGATAAACACACACAATGGAATTCTGCTCGGCTACAAAAAAAGATGAAACCTTGCATTTTGCAGCAACATGGGTAGATTTTAAGGTGATTGTGCTGAGTGAAATAAGTCAGAATGAGAACGACAAATGTCACTCATGCAGAATATAAACGAGCAAAGCAAACAAAATAACACATCACAACAAAAACAACTCTCAGACTCTGACAACAAAATGGTTTCCAGAGGGGAAGAGGGAAGTAGTGGGAGGGACAGGTAGAGGGGTTCAATTTGATAGTGATGAACAGTACTGGGACTTTGGTGGTAGATATATGTGGCGTATACACTTACCTCGGTGTGAAGCTACGCTCCTAAAGCTTACAGTATTGCCACATCAATAATCCATCAATCCAAACCCCTGTGGATCCCAGGTTATCCTTTTAATAAAGCCCACACCCTGTCATGACCTCTAAAGCCATCTAACATGACCTGCTTTCCTCCCCCATCCTATCCTCCCTTCTCTCCCCCCAGCAAATGTTTCACTCTATGCTGCAGTCAGTACAAACCACCCCACTCCAGGTCCTTGGGCAGCCCCTCCCTCCCTCCTCCACCACAGCTCCTACCTCCTCCAAGCCCTCATGCATCTCACATCTCATCGCCACATGAACTCTCCTCAGAAATGTCCCCTCAACTCCCCACTCAGCTTGGGGTGCTTTCCTACCTGCTGCCATAGCCGCCTGGTGCTGGGGTTCCTTGGGCTTCCGTTTGCCCTGTTCCTCATCTACATCTGCAATCAGGCCTTGAGAACTGTGTGCAAGGGTCCTGGGCTCTACTGTGAGGTCTCCTCAGACACTGAACAGCGTGGTGCACAGCATGTCCGCGACCGTTATTGACCAGGTGGACAAATGAGCCACAGTACAGAGCCTGGTACATCTTCAAGATATGTGAGAATGAGGCCACTGCCCCTCAGGTTTCTGGAGCACAGCTTCTCTGTCCTGTCCATCTGGGCCTTCCTGGTCATTTCCTTTATAATCCTTGGCACATCTATCGTGTGAAGGGCTGGATTCTGGCTTGTCTCCTGCCCAGTTTTGCTGTTTTACAGAATTGGAATTGAGGCTGCCTCCAGTTCTGGGCCAGGACTGGGCTCTCTGCTACCAGCAGGGTCCCAAATTACACAAATTACAGGGTCCCCTAAAATTGTGCCAGGATTTGGCCACACATGAGTGACTTCAAACTGAGTCAAGAATCAACAGACATTGTATAAACTTCACACCTATTTGAAAACCGCTTCCATGACCCATGGGGCATTAAAGCTGAGCAAGCAGAGGGACTCATCTTGCTCACAGGTGGCTACCTCAGCTTTGTTCCCCTCCCCTTTCTCACCTGTGTCACCCTCACTCTGTTGCCTTGTTGACTCTGAAAGTGCTTAAGTCAGAGGGATAAGTTTGGAGTAACTGCGGAACTGCTACCTGTCTTTGTATCTTACAAGGTTTTGTATATGGCTGATCAATATCTGATGTTAAATGGCACTAATAGATATATTAAAATTTATATACCTGATACTAGAGTATTGTGTGATAGTAAGAGACAGTTCTTTGCCCTTGGGAACAGACTTTGTAGCCACTGAGAACAATTTAACGAATGCAAAGCAGGCAGCTGGGGATTCACAGGGCAAGTGGAAAGAAAGAGACAAGCATTTGACCCCTCTGAGGTTGGGACTAGAAATCCTCTCAGCTGGGTCATGGTGGCGCCTGGGTGCGCAAAGGGAGGAGCTGGCAGAGGGCTGTGAAGGACCATGGGTTGGCCCAAGGAAGAAACGAGAAACTTGAAGATGGGAACACATTTCTGGAAGGGCCCAGCAGGAGTGAGGGAGGCCTGAAGGCTCACCTGTGACAGAGAGGCTCATGGCCCTGCTGCTCTGGGTGGTCCCGCCGTTGTTGGCTGTGCAGTAGTAGCTCCCAGAGTGTTTGGCTGTCAGAGGGAACCTCAAGTGCGCTGTTCCCCATGGAGCCTGCGACCTCTGGAGAAATACTCCATTGTGAAAAAAATGATACTGAATTGGAGGAGAACCTCTCTGGGCTTCACAGTGAAGAGTCACCATGTCTCCCTCCAGAGCCGGTGTCCTAGGAGTGCTGATGGTCAGGACAGGATGGGACACAGGAACTGGGGGAAAGAAAGAATTAGTCAAGTGCTGCTCCTGTCACTTACTGTGGCTTCAGCCCAATCTCCACTGTCCTGCATTCAGGCCCAGCAGCCTCCCAGGCTTTTCTCATGAGCTTTCTCCTGTCCTCCACACGGACCTTTTCCAATTCTTTCCTTTCCCATCAGATCTCTGGCCTCTTACCCCCTCTTGCTAGGGGGCCTCACTCCCATTTTCCAGAGGAAATGACTCTGAGGGGAGGACTCCCTTATGTGCTACCACCAGACCCACATCCTGACCTATTTCTTCCTTCCCTATGATTTTGGAAAGGCTGTGCCGACCCATCCAACTCCTGCCGAGCCTTCTTGTCAGTCCCTGTCCTCCATGTCTTCCTCCACAGGGGTCAACCTCAGAGTTCTGCCCTTAATTTCTTTCCCTTCCAGGTTTATTTACTCTTTTAGGGCCCTCTCTGTCCCTGAACTCTCCCTGCTCCTCGTCTGATCCTCTCTACTTATGGGTGAGAGACTGACTGAGTCAGGAGGAAGCCAGCCAGGACCGGCCTGTCTCCTGGTCCAATGCTAAAGCACACAGCCTCCATAAAAGTGGGTATGGAGGGCCTCCCTGGTGGCGCAGGCGGTTGAGCGCCGCACTGTGAAGCTGTCCGCAGCCTCTGCAGTGAGGGTTCGATCCCGGCCAGCCGGCAAGAATCCCACATGGCGCAGCAGACCTCTCCTATCTCGCCCACTGCTCCCCTCAGCAGTGTATTTTGTCAGTCTGCCTGTTCTGTTCCCCGCTCTGTCTCTGGTGAATCTGCTCACCCTAACGTGCATCTGGCCTGTACCCTGGTTCTTGTATAAATAAATAAATCTTAAAGATAAATAAATAAATTGCTTTTTTAAAAAAAGTGGGTGTGGAGTTTACTGTGAGTGGAGAGGATAGCACAGGCTTCTTCCCAAGCTGCACTCCCCTCATTATCCCAATTACCTTAACAACTTTGAGGGCAGGATGTCCTCACATACTGGTGAAAGAGGTAACAAAGTCTGGGTTCTCCCTGGCACCATATTGTATGTTTGGAGTACCTATCATGTTGCTTCCCAGCTATGTGTCCTGCATGGATTTGCACATTGGTTGTTGGTAACAATTATCTGTTGCAACAACAGATCTCACCATAACCCTGGGAAAGAGAAGTGACTTGGGAGCTTCTTAAATTGATTGGGGACTCAAACATCTGAAGATTCAGAGGACAAAAGATGAAAGAACAAAGCATTAAGTTCTACAAATGCTGGGCAGAGACAGAGAGAGACAGACAGAGGGAGGGAGGGTAGAGACAGAGAGAGAGAGACAAAGAAAGGAAGGGAGAGAAAGGGGAGAAGGGAGGAGGCACTTCGACAAACACATTCAGGGGTACGAAAGCATCTGGCTGGTTGAAGAATGAGGCCCATGAAAAAGACACTTTGAAAGATACCTGTTCAAAGATCTTCAGGATGGGGATGCTCAGACAATTCCTGGACTGAATTGTATGCCACCCCCCCACCATGTGTTTTGTGAAGCCCTAGCCCCTGTGAGATTTTATTTGGAGAAAGGACTTTTAGGGAGATAACTATGGTTAAATGATGTTGTAATTGTGGGGCCCTGATCATCAGGACACACCAGAAATCCTGTAAGAGCACATGGAAGAAAGGCCATGTGAGCTGTACTTCTGCAAGCCAGGGAGAGAGTTCTCTCAGAAACCAAACTGGCCAACACCTTGGTCTTGGACTTCCAGGCTCCCAAACAGTGAGAAAATAACTTTCCATTGTTTAAGCCATGTGTGGGCTTGCTTGTGGCATTTGCTAATGGCAGCCTGGAAGACTAATGCTGATGACTTGGAGAAGGGGAAGTAGCTAAGGCTTACGAAAGACGGACTCCTAACATTCTATCGCTTCTGGCTTTCCCCTAGGAGCCATTTCACTTAAACAAAGAAGGCATTTGTATATAGGAAGGGGCTGTACATGCTCATCACTGAGCAGTGTTCTCCAGGGCCCACGGCCACCTCGATCCTGGACTCCCCTTTCTGCTGCTCCGTGGCTGACTCCTGGGAGATTAGATAGTACACTAAATGATTGCTAAACATTGTGACCCACACCCACCCACCCACCAAGTCTTCTCACTGAGTCTGACAACCAGTTTCTCAGATGAAGCCTAGCGAAGTGCCTTTCAAGGTGACAGTGACGGGCTTGCTGGGCAAGGAGAGATGCTCTTTGCTGGCACATAATAATAACCTCCGGCATCACTGCTTCTCACCACAGAGATCTTGAGTTCTCTTTCCAAGGAATTATTCACCCTTGTTTCCTTACTTTCTTTCCCTCTGTACCAGTTGATTCTGATGGAGCCTGGGACTCCATCTACTGAGCAAATGAGCACCAGCTCCTGTCCTTCAAATACCGACTGTAATAGTTGGGTGTGGATTTGGACAGTGGCGACAGCTCCTTAGTGAATAGAAGTGACATATGTGGTGGTGTTTCTATGTGACTTTCTAAAGATCCTGTGGAGGGCCTCCCCGGTGGCGCAGCGGTTGAGCGCTGGGTTGCGAAGCTGCCCGCGGCCTCTGCGGCGCCGGTTCGATCCCCGGCTGCTCCCCGGCCACCAGAGGAGGGTCCCACATGGCGCGCAGACCTCTCCTGCCGCCCGCTGCTCCCCTCAGCAGTGTACTTCGGTCCTTCTGCCTGCTCTGCTCCCCGCTCTGCCTCTGGTGAATTCTCTCACCCTCCCGCGCTTCTGACTGTGCCCAGTGCATGTATAAACAAACAAACAAATAAAGAAAGAAACATGCCTCTATAAAAAAAAAAAAAAAAAATCTACAGTTTAAAGATCCTGTGGAGCATTAAGCACAAGGACAGAGGCAAACCTCCCCAAACTCCCCTCTGTCCTACCTGTCCCCTGATAGGGCATGACTCTGGAGATTGCATCCAGGGCCTAATATTAGCACTCTTTGGGGGTCTGCTAAAGGGTGGTGACAGAGACAGGGAGATCCAGCGTTGAGGGGCTCCACAGCAGGGTAGCCTCAGTGGTTGGTTGGGAGTCAATCATATGCAGGAAGCTTGCACTGGAGCCAGTACATCTTACCCCACTGGTCTGCCAGTTACATGGTCAGAGGAGGTGGACCCAGCACAGTCACTGTAAGTGGGAGAATCTGAGCTGAAAGTGTTCTATATTCCAGGCAGATGTCGTTTTGCATAATGATGATGATTTTAGGCAGTGATTTTTGAAACATCCTGTGGTCTCAAAAAATGAGGGAAAATGCCTAAACAGAAGGGAAGGTAAGCTTGCTGTTCCATCAGTTATGCTGCTATGATCTTATGCTAGAAATGGTTAGTTCTTAAGTGTTGGATAATGTTCTTTCTTTGACTGTGTTTCTTTAAACCAGTGACCTAAAACGCCTGCTACCTGTGACTGGAGAACAGAAGATTAATAAAATCTAGGCACTTTGGAGAAACTTTTTTTTTTATGTCCTGGGAATGGGAGTGAATTTATGGGCAACACTACGACTTTACTCTGCCTCATGCAAGAAAGTGTGCTCGCAGACTCTGTGTACCCTCTTATTTGTTCAAGAAAGTTTCCTGGGAGACAGGTCACATTTAAACACGTGGTCATGCTTGAGAACCTACACAATTTTGGAGACTTGGGGAAAAGCAATGGGTATACCACCATTCTTATCGATGTCAAGTTAGAATCATTTATTCCCCAAACTTTTGTCCTGTGGTTTCCTTATTCTTAAGTGCTCTGTTCCAGACATCTAGCATTCTAGGGATCTGGCTGAACAGAGTCTGTTCGGCCTAGTCAGAAGACTCTGCCACAGCCCACAATTTCTGTTTAAGGGCCTCGTGGGTGGGTGGGAGGGATGGTGTCAGGAAAGAACCTTCAGATGGCAAACAAAGAGATGGGTCTTTGTTATGGCATTGAAAGAAAAAATTAACTCCTCTCTTTCCTTGGACCTTTCTGGTCTAAGCTCTTCTAAGATGCCCACAGAATTGAGGGTTCTTCTCATGAACATTTCCCATTTCCAAAAATATGAGAAGCCCTTTCCACACAGACCAGTGACCCAAGCGATGAGCAGTTCTGCCTGACCCTACCCTGCCCAGTCCCAGTTCTCAGACCCCTTTGGAACTTACCCCTCACATATATGTACAATTTTGGACTATCTTTCAAGAAATGGGAAGTCACTCTCTGTGCCTGGCAGAAGTAAAACGCCGAATCTTCTTTCAACAAGGTGATTTGTACTTCTGGGGAGCTGTTCCATGTCGTCAGGGCTAGGCTTTCACTGAGGAAACGGAACTGGAGCTGAACATATGACCTCTGTGGAGCAAGCTGGGTGTTGCAGGTCAGCTTCACTGGACTCCCCGCAGTGGGTCGGGAGTTGCTGGCTGTCAGCTTAGGTTTTGGAAACAACTCTAGAGAGAAGGATCACAACAGCCCCTGAGCAGTGAGGCTTGGAACTGCACTATAGAAAATTCACACATCCTTCGTGCAGCAAACAGAACAAACAGAAGCAGAGATGTTAGCATCCCTTTCTTTTGCTTCCTAACATCCTTCTGTCCAAAAACCCACTGCTGCCCTCTCTCTGTTCCTTGCAGGAATATGACCTGAAGTTCAATAGTATTCTAGAACCCCCTTTTCTTTCTCTAAAACCTCAGGGACCCTCCTTTCGACTAATGCCTTTAGCAAGTAGTGGGGACTTTACCTTGGACTTGGATTCTGGCTGCATTTGAAGAAACTGACCAACAATCTTCCTTAATTGCAGTGCATTTGTACACACCATTATCCTTCAGACTTGCTTGCTCAATGTGGAAGTCAGAGGTACTGCCAAGGTCTGCCAGAAGTTTATCATTCTTGTACAGTTGCACAGATCTTAGGGTGAATTCCGCCTTTCCTCGGCATCTCAGAACCACGGAGTCGCCTTCGAACACAGCCAGCGGTGCCTGCAGGATCAGGCTAGCTGTGGGAGACACAAGCCAGGGGTTTGCTTCCTCCCATGGATTGTCCCTTCGTTCCAATGTTATTCCAAATAGATTTTATAGGAATGGGGACCTGGAAAAAGGATTCTTAAAACAATTATTCTTTTTTTTTCCTGATTTTAAAATAAACACAAGTGCCTTGAGAAAGTCTGGGAAGCAGACATATAAGTACAAATCTCCTTTCATCCCACCACACAGGTTTTGACATTTTCCTTGTTCTTCATGTGAGAGTTCATGTGTATTTATTTCTTTCTCTGCAATAAAAATGATATTTATGTATCTGATAACTTGCTTCTCAATTGCCATGTTATGCACACTTTTCTCTGTCATCACTATTATTACTGAATCAGTTTTTGATGGTCACAAAGTTTGCCTTCAAAGCAATAATTAATTTATTTAATGTGTTTTCTTTTTTTGACCATTTAAGTTTCTTCATTCTGGAGGTATATATCTATGATTGTTTCAGCAGGTAAATTCTGAAGAGAGAATTTTCAGGTCAAAAAGGATAAGCATTTAATTTGCTTCTTGCTGTAATTCTGCTTCTTTATTCACTATATTAAAGATCATTATAGCTAGGAAAGAATTGTTTCAAATTCAAACCAGGTAGCTTCGGGATAAAAAAGGAAATCCCTCTCTCATCAATCTAGCAATATAAAAAGCCCCTATGCTTCTTCTTATTCTAAGATTTCAAGTAAATTTTATAGACTTAAAACTATCAATAGATACAAAAACTAATCAAATTAATTGCTTCTGAAATTGTCTTTTCCCTGAGCAGTTTGAATAAATAAAAATCCCTGGATCTTTTTTCTATAAATTTTGATTCAGTAAATGTAGGGTAGGTTCTGGGTAATTTACAGTTAATTGCAATCTGAGGATGATTCCAATGTTTTTCAATGTTTCTTTTTTAACTTCTTTCTCACCTGTAGAAAAGACCAAATGCACAGGTTTACTTGGGGGTGAGTCCTGGGTCTGGCATCTGTACTCTCCAGATTCATTGACCTTACGGCTATTTCGTGAGGTGTTGCCTAATATATGACCCTCAAAATACCATGTTGTTTCCCGTGGTGAGCGAAATCCATTGCAAGTCAGAGTCACCAACTCTCTTTTGAAGGCAGTGGTCCACGGAGGATGGAGAGAAATCACAGGAGCATTTGCTAAAGAGAAGAGAAAAGAGTTTGAGCAGAGTTGCCTGCAATAGGACAGACAGAGGACCTGGCTTTGGAGAATCCCTAAGAAAACTTCCAAGCTCTCTCAAGGCTGCATGTGAGCCAAAGTGCCTGCCTCACACAATGAGATATTATTCAGAGGATGGCAATAAGCAAGTGATTTCAAGAGAACACTACTGGGGAGATTGACTGCTAACTGGCCATGAGAAAAGATGGCTAGTTAGCCTATAGAATTGGGTCCTAGAGAAAGTTACCCTCCACCCCTGATACTTTATCATAATCATAAATTCAAGGACTTCCTAAGGAGTCATTAAAATTGTAATTTTGCACTTTCTCTATAAGTTAAAAATTATAGAGTAAAATAAAATAAATATTGGTACTGAGAAAAGTTTGAGAGTTTAACTTGTCTGACATCTTTGTTTTATAGATGAGGATTCAAGTACCCAGAAAAATACCATCATAGTTAATTGTAGCAGAGCAAAGAATGCACAAGTCATTTGCTGGAATCCAGAGGTGACCCAGGCAAGAATGACAGCCTAGGACAGCTGATTTTGGACAAAGAGAGTGTTTCAGGAAAGTTCTTGTCATTCAGGTCTCCTCAAATACGCAAAACCCACTGACCCAGAGGAATGGCATCAAGAATGAGAACTAAAAAAATGTCGATGCAGGGGCCTCCCCAGTGGCGCAGAGGTTGAGCACTGGGTTGCGAAGCTGCCCGCAGCCTCTGCAGTGCCAGTTCGATCCCCGGCCACCGGGTGAGGGTCCCACATGGCGCGCAGACCTCTTTTGCCGCCCGCTGCTCCCCTCAGCAGTGTACTTTGTCAATCTGACTGTTCTGCTCCCCACTCTGGCTCTGGTGAATTCTCTCGCCCTTCCACGCTTCTGACTGTACCCAGTACTTGTATAAATAAATAAATAAATCTTAAAAAAAAACAGAAAAAGTCGATGCAATAATGTTTTCTCCCACAATATCCCCCTTTTGTTCATTTCCTCCCTTTTAAGGCTAGTTGAATTTTCTTCTCTCCACACATTTCCTGGAGCATTTTACTCTTGCATCTGTAGAGAATGCAATATTCTTGCAGGTTTCCTCACAGAACATTTATCAAGGAATTTTCTGGCTTACTGAAGGGTGAGCATCTTATCCCAAGATTGCACATTTGTCATAAATTGAAGATGTTCTGTCTGGTTAAATAAGGTCTGTTTGCAATAGGAGTGAGTGAGCACCTACCTAGCCAGGGCCAGTAGCTGTGTGTGCACCTACCCCTTCTTTCAGAGTGGGTTACCAGGTGACCTTGAAGCTATCCTGGTGCTTCATGTGATGCCAATGGACCAGTTGACACTTTCAAATCCCCAGTGGACTCATCAAGAAGACAGGAATCATTGGGGACCCTCAGGCAATGTTTCATATTTACTAGGGAGAGAATCTTATCTGGAGACACTGAAGAGCAATGGTAAGAACTCACCAAATTGTTCACTGACAGGAGCTGCAAAAAATGAATAAATAAATAGTCAGAGACGTGCACAGAACAAAGATTTTTTTGGCTTTTTGAAGGTAATGACTGTCCATTTATTTTTTCCCATCCTTATATAATTTTTTTATTAAAATTTACTTTAAAAATTTAATAATCACTTATTAAATATCTATGCATACTAGGAATTGTGCTTGGACTTCCAAGATGAATAAAAATTGGTATCTTCTAGCAAGAGGCTGACTGGTTGGAGAAACAGAAACATGTAACAAAATAATATAACTATATTATAAGGCATAAGTGCAATAGGAAATATATACATGAGGCATCTTGAGGGCAGAAGGGTTACCCATCTTAGAGCATAGGTTGTGTGTGTGTGTGCATGCACATATATGTGTCTGTGTGTGCGTGTGGCTTGAGGAGTGTGGGTGGACCACGTATAAGAAAGTGATGTTTAAGAAAACCGAGTAAAAGAGCAAAGGAGGCAGTTAGATGAAGCTGTTTTTGTGTGGCAAGAGATATTGGTGAAGGTAATTAAGGCAGAAAGAACACAGAAGTGTAGGGAGTGAAAATCAGATTAGAGAGACACGAAGCCCCAAGTCATGGGCAGTAAGTAGCTCAGATTTTATTATAAAAACCATGGGAAGTCATGGGAAGGTTTCAAGTAAGAGTAACAATGTTAAAATTTGAAAGTTAGATCATACTCTAGTGGTGGGTAGATGATATATGAAGTAGAGAGACTGTTTAAAAGAGCAAGAGATGATGATGTTTAATTTATTCCAAGTATTTATCTGAAATTATTTTATTTGCTTGTTTCTTTACTCTCCCTTCTTTAGAATTGAAGTTCCATGAGAGTAAAGACTTCTCTTGTGTTCACCATTTATTCCCAGGACTTAAAACAGTGCTTGGCATATAAAACATATTCCACAAATATTTTTGGATATTAATTTATTATATAATAAGCTAGTTAAAGAACAATGTCAGTAAATAGATATAGAAGGGCACACATTTGGAAAATGGGTGCTGAGGACAGAGAGGAGGCAAAACCGGAAAGTTTATAAATTAATTAAACATTCCAGATGAGGCACAGATTTGGTTCAGTAATTCAAAGCAACAGCAATCTAGCAGTGAGTGCAAGGAATATCGTCTCTGTTCATATGGCACTGAAGGGGAGTGATCCAAACTTAAATGTTTTCAGAGAACAGTGACTGTTTGCCATTACCTAAATAGCTTGGTCACTATGGATTGTTATAGATTAAATGAATATGTTTGATGTTGTAGACATTCACATGTATTATTTCATATAATCTTGCCCAGAAGTTTGTAATCATCTCCCATTTTACAGAACATAAACTGATTAAGGAGGTGGCAGAAGGGGGTTTTGAACCCATTTGTTTGGATTTGCCATGCTTGACCCCTAAGCATACACTCCTAACCCTCTCCCTAGCCTGGCCCTCCATGTTCGGTTCAGTAATTCAAAGCTACAAAAATGTGTTGCCTCTCTGTGGAAAATACCATACAATTTCCAATAGTTAGGGACATTTTTTCTTAGATTGCTCCATCCCTAACCCTTCTAGCTCCTATTCTCCCTGTTTGATAAAATCATTAACAGTCATTTACCAGTTTGCACTATACTTGATAACTTTGTCTAAACAATTACTTCACTGGAACATTGTTACAAAGCTGTTTCTTATGCATTGATCTTGTATACCAACTCTGAGCTTCCTCAGTACAGAAATCTGCCTTCCAGACCTTCCCATCATTTCCAGCACCTAATGCAGTATTATGCATAAATATTACTAAAAAATGTTGAACAAGTGAATAAATATATTTAGTCTAATATTTTCAATGTAGGTAAAAACCAACCAAATTGTATTATGAATTAATAGACACATGCACACTCATGGGCACAATTAGAATGTCATGTGCTGGAAGTGACATGACCAGTGTGACAGAGGAGGAAGTCTTCACCCCACCCCCATGGCAGCCACACACAGACAAAGAGGGGAAGCTTTGGCATCCATTTGAGGGGCTGCAAATTTCCAGTGGAACCCAATACCAAGAAAGGTTGTTATGAAAAGGCAAATACAACTTTGGGTACAGACTCACTGGCTGTGATCCCAGTTTCACACGGAAAGAGCACCCATCCTACTGTGGACTCAACTCTGTCTCTGCTTGTTCATGGTTCAGCCACTTGATACTTCTGCCAAGGAACCTAGATGGAACCATACCCATCCCTGCCCTGGTAAGAGGCCAGCTGACTTCAGAATTGACTGCTATTGCTGAAGCAGTCTGTGCCCTAGCTTCAGTCCCACCTTACCATGGTGAAAGACAGTCTCACCTGTTCAGGGTCCTGCACAGGGACTCAGTGAAAGACATGATTGTAGACACCCCAGTAACAAGCCCATATGCCATGGACTTGACTGGTCGCTAAAGTAATCCATTTACTCAGCTCTAGTTCCACTCTACTGCAGGGCAAGGGAAGTCCTTGTGTCCAGGGACAAGCTAAGAAGCCTAACAGGAGCATGCTCAGGGACCCAGTAGGGCCCTGAGTAGGACACTGCCTGGCCCTGATAGCAGTATTGTCAACAGCAGAACCAGCAAGAGTCCTAAGCCCAGTTCCAGTCCTGCTATTGTGAATGTAGAGGTAGTATTGTAAGTTCAGAGAACAGCTGGAGAAGGTTTATACCTGCCCAAACCAGTATAAACACTGAAAGAAATGTCGCTTTTCTAAATACACAGGCATCGATGCGTTGCATAACAGATTATGAAGAATCAGCCAACATGACAATACCAGGGAAAGTAAAAGCTCCAGTAACTAAACTTAAAGAAATGGAAATCCATAAACAAAGAATTAAAATCAATAGTTTTAAGGAAACTCAATGAGTTAGAAGTGAACTTAGACAACTGAAAACCAAATAAAACAAAACACAAAACCAAAACGAAAAGTTTGACAAAGAAATAGAAAACACAGAGAAAGAACCAAACAGAAATCTTGGAGCTGAAGAATGCAATGATTGAATTGAAAATTCCAATAAAGACCTTCAACAGAAGAATATGTCATGCGGGAGTAAAAAAATCAACAGAGAAGTCTTTTGAAATAATTCAGTTAAAATGCAGGCCAGTGGAGTAGACCAGAAAACCCAGAAATAAACCCACACAATAATGAACAGTTCATGCTGACATTGGCGCCACAGCCATACAGTAGAGAAAGGAAAACCTCTTTAACACATGGTGCTAGTAACCTGAACAGACACATACAAATAAATTAAATTGGATCTTTATTTAACTGTATACACAAAAGTTGATTCAAAATGCATTGAAGACTTGGATATAACCCCTAAAGCCATAAAAATAAATAAAATGAAGCATTGGGGATACACACGAGGACATCAACCTCAGAGGTGTCCTTTGGGAACCCCCTGTAATGGCAAGAGAAACAAAACAAAAATAAACAAATGGGCCTACATTTGACTAAAAAGCATTTGTACAACAAAAGAAATTACCATGAAAGCAAAAGGCAATCTAGCAACAGGAAAAATGTTTGTACACCACATGTCCAACAAAGGGGCTGATTTCTAATATAAATAAAGCACACATCTGACTCAATAACAAAAACCCACGCTACCCAATCAAAAAAATGGGGAAAAGACCCAAACAGATGTTCAGATGACCTACAGACAAATGAAAAAAAAAAATGCTCACCATCACTTTTTACAAGGGAAATGTGAACCAAAACCACAATGAGATACCACCTCACCCCTGTGAGAATGGCTTATATAAAAAAAGGCTGGAATTAACAAATGTTATTGGATGGATGTGGAGAAAAAGGAAACCTCAACCACTGTTGGTGGAATTTGGTGCCGCCTGTATGGAAAGTGGTATGGACATTCTGTAAAAAGTTAAAAATGGAAATGCCATATGATCCAGCAACATCACTGCTAAGTTCTTACCCAAAAATATGATATAGGGGAACCAAATAAGACATCAGTGTAAAAAAATAATAACAGTACAAAACACAGCAAAGCAAAAACAAACAATTATAAATCAGAGACATCCTGCAGGGGAGGAGGAGGGAGACAGATGAAAGGGAGGGAGGGAGGAGCACAGGAGACTGTGGTGATGGTGCATGGGAGCATTGGTGAAGGACATTATATGGGGACTATACCTAAGGGTGGGGAAAGCAAATATTGTTTTAAAATGAACAATGGTGTAAAATATATAAAATAAAATGATTGCTTATTTTATTCTAAAAAAAATGAAAATGGGCCTCCCTGGTGGCAAAGGACTAAGTTGCGGCACTATGAAGCAATCCACAGCCACTGCAGCATGAGTTCCATCCCTGGCCAGGGAGATACTCACATGGTACGACAGACCTCTCCTGTCTTGCCCGCTGCTCCCCTCAGCAGTGTATTTCAGTCAGTCCACCTGTTCTGTTCCCCACTCTGTCTCTGGTGAATCCTCTCACCTGTACCCCAATTCTTGTATTCATAAATAAATAAATCTTTAAAAAAATAAGAAAATGTTAATATGAAAATAACTGTGCACTCTTATGTTCATAACAGTATTATTCAAAATAACCAAGCCATGGAACTAACGTAAATGTTCCTAGACAGATAATTGGATAAAGAAATTATGGAATATATATTCATAGGAATAATACTGAGCTATTGAAAAAGATAAAATGGTATATTTTGGAATAAATGAATGGGTTTTGAGGGGATTATATTAAGTGATATAAGTCAGAAAATGAAAGACAGTTACTGGATGATTTTTCACATTTGTGGAATAGAAATAACCAAAGGAAACAAACTGGCAAAACACAACAACAAAACCCTCCTATACTCTGCAGTTGACATATAGTGGTGCGCCTCCCTGGTGGAATGGCCTAGAGTTTAAGTCTCAGTGCTATCACCAAGACAACCCACAAACAAGGCCTGAGTTCAATCCCCAGCCAGGGAGCTGACCCACATGGCACAGCAGACCTCTCCTGTCTCACCCACTGAGACCCTCAGCAGTGTATTTCAGTAGATCTGCCTGTTCTGCTCCCCACTCTATCGCTGGTGAATCCTCTCACCCCGACACCTCTGGCCTACATCACAGCTTTTCTACACAAAAATAAATAGAATCTTTAAAAAAAAATATATATAGTGGTTACCAGGGGGAATGGGGCTGTGGAAGGGAAGGTGACAGGACATATTCACACTGGAGATTAACGGAGTGTGAGCAAGACATATGCACACATGGAGAAGTGATATTGTGTTTGCAAAAATAATGTAGTTATGTAAACTACTTACAAATTAATAAAACTTAAGAAAAAAGGAAAATATCCAGTTAGAGGAGTGAAAAGAAAAAAACTAATGAAAAAGAGTGAAGAAAGTCTAGATGACACTTGGGATACCATTTACAAGTCAATACAGATACTGTTAGAGACCCAGAAGGAGCAAAGAAGGAGGGCAGAAAGATTACGTAAAGAAAAAATGCCAGAAAACTTCCCAAACCTGGAGATGGAAATGAACATCTACATCCAAGATTCCTGTAGAACCCCAAATAGACTGAGCATTAAATGGTCTAAATTAAGACACATTATAATCAAATTCTCAAAAGTCCAAGAAAAAAAATGTTTTGTAATCAGCAAGAAAATAAATCTTATACAAAACTGATTCAAAATGGGCTAAGATTTGGATGTAAGACTTGAAATCATAAAATACATAGAATAAAACAGGTATACAGTTTTTGACAACAGTCTTGGAGATGTGCTCAGCAACCTGACTCCAAGATAAGAAAAACAAAAGCAAAAATTAAAAAATAGGATGACATCAGACAAAAATGCAATGCACAGTGAAATAAACTTACATTGACATGAAAACACATTTTACTGGAAAAGGGAAGATATTTTCACATATGTTTGATAAGGGGTTAGTCGTCAAAATATACAAAGAACTCATAAAACTCAACAACAAACAGAAAACTCAACCAAAAAATAGTCAGAGGATCTAAGTAAACACATCTCCAAGGAAGACATACAATTGGTCTGTAAGTACATGAAAAGATGTTCTTCATCTCTATTATTACAGAAATGCAAATCAAAAGAATGAGCTGTCACATCACACGTGTGAGAGTAGCTATTATCCAAAATATGAGCAACAAGAAGTGTTGGAGGGGATGTGGAGAGAAGGGAACCCTTACACACTGTTGTGGGAATGTAAGTTGGTGCAGTCATTATGGAAAGTGGTGTGGAAATACCTCAAAAATACCCAGAAATTTCTTATGATCTATTTATCCCACTCTCAGTATTAACCTGACAAATATAAAACATTAATCAAAGACTTATATGCACCCCAGCCCTATTCCTGGCATCACTATTTTCAATAGCCAAGAATTGGTAACCTAAGTAACCTCCGGACTGACAAATGGATAAAGATGTGATATGTATACACAATAAGATACTATTTACCTACAAAAAGATGGCATTCTGCCATTTGTGGGTGGACTTGAAGGGCATTATGTTTAATGAAGTAAGCCAGTGAGAGAAAGACAAAAAAGGCATGGCTTGGTGTGATTTCACTCATACTGGATACATAGAGAAAAAATCGGATGGACTAAATAAAATGAAAACCTATTTTTAGATGATAAGACCAATTAGCAGTTTCCAGAGAGAGGAAGGATAAGGATGAATAAACTTGGGAAAAAAACAGGACAATGGCATCATGAAATACAGAATTAGATTTTTCAGAGGTGAACTCATTGTTATATACAGATGTTGATTCTCAATGATTCATACTTAACATTTATTTATGTTATAATGTAATGTTACCTCAATAAATAACACCAAATAATAAACACAAGGCAAAATGTACCAATGGAATGTTCTAAAATAGCTTTACATATTTAAGATAGTATTATTCAAATAAAAAATCAATCAAACATGAAATAAAAAATATTAATAAAGTCTTGCCTGACTTCAAACTATATCATCAAAAATTTGTAATTGCAACACAACCAGAAAATATGGTGAAAAAAGTTGAGTCAGGACAATATTTCCCTAAGATCCTTAAGAAAACAACTTAAAATCTCATTATTTCTCCTATCAACCCATCACAGGAGGAGGCCTGATTACCCACATGCCTGCAACTTTAGAAACATGTGCTCAAAAGGCCTATTGTCTTGATGGAGTGGTGTTGGGGCAGGAAGGGGGGTGTGTGAAACACAACACTGCAATAGCGGAGTGCACAGGTGTAGATTTCACTGCTACCACCATCAGTGGTTGTACCAGAATTGGGCAGAAGAGGGTTGGATTTGGGTGACACACATCTCTGGAGCATCTGCACAGAGGCAGGGAGGACAATGATGCCCCTTCCTGAAACTGGAAGTGGTTGTTGGTCTTTGAGTACCTGCAAATTGCCTCTGCCTAGAGTGGTGGATGCTGCCCCCTCAGCATGGCATGGAAGCTAGTTCCAAGGGGCCAATCCCCAACCTCTACCAGCTACAAAACCCACCCTACTCTTCCTCAGCTTCTGACCCACTATAGTTAGGTGAACTCTGCCTACTACAAGGAAAACTGTTGGCTCAGCAGTGTGCATCTGACCTATCTGGGATTGCTGGAAGCTAGCTGGGCATCTCCAAAAGCATCCCTCCCTCTCTTGCTGGATTCCCAGGGCCTTCCTTGATTTCCTTGCCCACCAAGGGCACTGCCTACTGTAAAGAACAATGACAGCCCGGAAGGAGTTGAGCAACACACCTCTGGCTGCTGAAGGATAGCTGAGCAGTTCCAAAAGACACCTGTGTCTCCCTCACAACATAGACTCTAGGTTCTTTCCCTCTTCTCCCAGCCTACTGCAGTGAGCACTGCACTCCTGCCTCACTGTCCCCCACAAAGAACACTGACTACTTAGCATGTCTGTAGTTGACATATTGGTAACTGAATAGCTGTTGTGGTTGTCCAGAAAGGTGCCCTCTTTACCATCTGGATTTTTGAGTCTTCCCTGAGCAACTAGCGCATCATAGCTAGGCAAGTGCTACATACCATAAGAAACACTAACCTCTAGGCTGATGCTGAGCTACCAACAATTGGGGATGTTGGTGGCTAGCTTGGCAATTCCTAGAAGCAGCAGTCCTTCTTCCACTTGGGATTGGCAGGCATTTGGAAAGCTTACCTTCTATATAGTCTGAAACTTCTTGAACTACCTGCCTGTGGTCCAAGTCCATAGCCTGTAGACCACTGTGCATGTGCCAGAGTTTCAGGCGGTAGAGGGGTTGGATCTCTGCAGCAAAATCTGTTGAGATTGGAGCTGGGTTGTAGCTAAAGGGGAGTCAGTTGAAGTTTGGGCCCCTGGGAGAATGCCACTGTTGGATTTCCTTGATCAGACTTGAGCAGACAGTGATTGAAGATCCATCCCTTGGCTCAAGCATCTGAAGGACTGAGTAAGCCTTTGCTCTTGGCAAACTAATACAGCTACTTCCACAACCCCCCTATATTCAGCCCACACATATAGGCAGGGTGTTGTATCACCACCCTGTGCTGGATCCAATACAACAGTAGAATACACAGCATCCAAGACAAACACCCCTAATCTGCAATTCTAAAATAAGATTATTATAGCAGAACGGAGAAAGAAAGCAGCCTAAGTTAATCCATAGAAATATTCACAGAGCATTAAATGGATTGAAGAAACAGATGAATCTTCTCATTTGATGGATCATAATAAAACCTTGGGAAAAATCTCCAATGCATCAGAATTAACCAAACTATCAGAAGACTTTTCAGCTCAGCAGTCTTAATGATGCCTGATAAAATTAGGAAATTAGGAAAACAATGGATGAACAAAATGAGAACTACAACAAAGACAGAAAATATGTCAAAGCTCCAAACAGAAGTCATAGACACAAAGAATGCAGTAGCTGAAATTAAAAATACAATAGAGGGGCTCACCAGTAGACTCGGGGGAGGCTGAGGACAGAATCAGCAGGATGGAAGATAGGGTAGTGGAAATCACCCAAAAGACCAATAAAAAGAATTACAACATAAGAGACTTATAGAACATCAAGAGAAACAATATTCACATCATAGGGGTTTCCACAAGGAAAAGAGAGGGGGAAAAAAAAAAGCAGAAATCTTATTTGAAGACAGTTTCACGAGTGAGTTCTACCAAACCTTCAAAGATGAACTAATACCTATCCCTCTCAAACTCTTTCAAAAATTGAGAAAGAGGGAACACTTCTAAAAAACACTTTATGAGGCCAACGTTACCCCGATACCAAAAGTAGACAAGGATAACACAAAAAAGAAAAGGAGGCTAATATCTCTGAATTAGACAGATGCAAACATCCTCAAAAAATTATTAGCAAACTGAATTTAATAATACATTGAAAGAATCATATAACATGACCAATTAGGATTTATTCCAGGGGTGTAAAGTTAAACATATGCACATCAATTAATCTCATTCACCACATTAATAAAAGCAAAAATAAGTATCATATTATCATCTCAATAGATGCAGAGAAAACATTTGACAAGATCCATGATAGATAAATATGACAAATAAATATGATAAATACTCTCAACAAAATAAATATAGAAGATGGGCCTCCCTGGTGGCACAGCAGTTGAGTGCTGGGTTGCGAAGCTGCCCTCAGCCTCTACAGCACCGGTTCGATCCCCAGCTGCTCCCCGGCCACCAGAAGAGGGTCCCACATGGCGCGCAGACCTCTCCTGCCGCCCACTGCTCCCCTCAGCAGTGTACTTCGGTCCTTCTGCCTGCTCTGCTCCCCGCTCTGGCTCTGGTGAATTCTCTCACCCTCCCGCGCTTCTGACTGTACCCAGTGCTTGAAGAAAGAAAGAAAGAAGAGAGAGAGAGAGAGAGAGAGAGAGAGAGAGAGAGAGAGAGAGAGAGAGAAAGAAAGAAAGAAAGAAAGAAAGAAAGAAAGAAAGAAAGAAAGAAAGAAAGAAAGAAAGAAAGAAAGAAAGAAAGAAAGAAAGAAAGAAAGAAAGAAAGAAAGAAGGGAAAGACCTTCATATAATTAAGGTTATATATGGAAAACCTACAGCTGACATCATATTTAATGATGGGCATACAGACTGGCCCATCCTCTATAGGAAAACAGTAGAGGTTTTGCAAAATATTAAAACTATATCTATATATGATAAAGCAATCTCTCTCCTAGGTATCTATTCCAAGAAAACAAAAACACTGATTCAAAGGGATATTTACTCTCCTATGTTCATCGCAGCACTATTTACAATAGCCAAGCTATGGAATCAACCCAAGTGCCCCAAAACAGAGGAGCGGGTAAAGAAGATGTGGTGTATAAATAAACAATGGAATACTACTCAGCTATAAAATAAAGAGGAAATCTTGTTATCTACAACAACATGGATGGAACTGGAAGGGATTTTACTAAATCAAAAGGAGAAAGACAAATACCAGATGATTTCACTCAATAAACAAAGCAAAATTGTTGACAAAACCAAACCAAAACAAACCCTAGAAACTTGACTGTAGAAATGAAGTTACCACATGGGAGGGTGGGGGGATAAATAGTAAAGGAAAGCAGGGCTCAATGGACTATTGTGGGAAGTTTTTGGTGTTTTTTTGGTAGTGTCAGTGTGATAAGTTATATTTGTAGAGGTATGAACATATACACTGTTGTAAATCAGTCACCTCAATAAACAACAACAATAAAAAAAATTGTAACTAAAAGAATATGAGACTGGAATAAAAATAGGCACACAAATCAATGGAATAGAATTGAAAGCAAAGATATAAACGAGCACATGTAAGAGCAACTAAACTGTGAGAAAGGACCGTGTGATGACAATGTGATGGAGAATTGAAAATCTCTTCAACAAACAATATTGGGAATACTGGATAGTCACATGTAAAAGAATGAAATTGTACCATTCTCTAACTCCAGGCACAAAAAAATAAATTCAAAATGGATTAAAGACTAGGAAATAAATCCAAAATCATGAAAAATAGAGAAGAAAATAGTAGATGATGCATTTCATGATATCAGCCTTGGAGATGTCTTTTGGTCCTTGACCTCAAGAGCAAGGGAAATGATAGTAAACACAAACAGTTCACCATTCCTACCAAAAGCAATATACAGTTTCAATGCAATGCCAATAAAAATCCCAATGGCATTCTTCAACAAATATTGCTTTGACAAATATTGCCAAAATTCCTATGAAGTCACAAAAAAAACAAATAGTCAAAGTCCTCCTGACCAAAAAAAGGGAATAATGGAGATATTATACTCCCTGACTTCAAACTATACTACAAAGTCAAAATAATAAAAATAGCATGGTATTGGAACAAAAAACAGATGATTAGCATTTTTAACAATCGGGTGTTTCAAATTAAGGCATATGCATTGTTTTTAAAGACATAATGCTTACTTGACCACAGTATAGTGGGATATAACTTTCATATGCGTTTGGAACACTAAAAGAAAAAAATGCAGGTGATTCACTTTAGTGCACTATTTGCTTTATTGCAATGGAATCAAACCTGCACTATCTCCCAAGGTTTGCTTGTGCATCCAAAAGATACATGATTTTTGTCAATCATGTGTCAACAAACCTGGGGAAGAAGGGGAATGTCATGTTCCTTAGGGTTTTCTCTCACCTTGCCTACTTCCCTCCTTAATCCCCGACCTCCCCTCACCCCTCCTGTTTTCTTTATATGCTGATAAACACTGTAGTTTGTACTTGCATGCAGAAGGTTGAAGAACTTTACCTTCATGCTGGGGCTAGGATCTGGGGTTGTCATATGAAGAAAAGTAATCTCTTTTGAAGCAAGAAAACTAAGTTCTACTCCGAATATGACAACATGAACAAACATAATACTTTTCTGAATATCATGAAAGAATATTTGTTGCAGGAAAAAAAAGAACAAACTTTTAACTCTTGTGGTTACTGTGATTTCCTTCTCTGGAGGTTGAAGCTTTATTCTACCTCTGACCCCTCCTTGAGACTCAACAGAGAAGTCCGTGAGCTGTTCAGTGAAGCCCCAAATATAATCAATCCCTCAGGCAGGAAAAAAAAATCTAAGCCAGACAGCCTCCAGCAAGGGCTAGACCAGTGGCTGTTGCCACCCCAACCAGGGCTCATATTGGACCATTCTACTCACCCAGGAGCATCAGTGCCATCCACAGCAGCATGAAGACCTGGTCTGCAAGGGCTGAGATCAAAGGAAACATTTTCCTTGGCAGTAGCAGGTTTGATTTTGTCCTTATTGTCACATAAGCCCCCAGGAGCATGTCCAGCAATTGCTTTTTCTAAGAGCAGGATGCATTAGTGAAGTAGAAAAAAGGAAGTGAAAATGCCCATCTTTAACTATGAATCAAAGTTTCCTCCCCTATGATTTAAGTGAGAAAATCAATGTGGGGCTTTAAAAAGCAGGTACTCTTCCTTGACCCCAGATTTCTTTTGCTGGGAAATCACCTTGAGGAAAGTACATGATGTCAGAACTAAAAGAATATTTATTACAGCATCATTCCTACTTGCCAGAAAACATGGAGCAATGTAAACTTCAGGAGTGTGGGACACTGAAGAATACTCGGCTCCAGTTGTACAGCCCCGACAAGGAGCAACCAGGATTGCGACGCACATGTGCATGTGCGAAGGCACAAGTGCTCCAATTAATGAGAAAAGAAAAAAAAAAAAACTCAAGGAATAGATTGGTATTTGTAGTGTTACCCACTGGGGTAGACATGGAAAAATAGAATAGATGTGTATGTAAACTATTGATAATAAGCATATATTTTGTTTTCCTGGAAAGTATACGAAAAATAATGTTTACATTGAAGAACTGTGGATGGGAAGGAGACATTTTATTTTATGGCTTTTTATACTGTTTTGACTTTTTAAGAAACAATTACATAAGTGCATTGCTTTTATAACTTTCTAAGTCAAGTTTCTCTCCTGGCATTGTGGTGAACAAATCCCTGAGATATTAGCTTCCATGAGGAATGCCAGTTTCTTCCTTCAGAAATTTTTCCCACCTTTCTTTCTGGGCCCATGCCCTTGGTCTTGCTAAGAAGACAATGAATTTCTATCTACAAATGCACATCACCTTGCATGTATTGTTAGGTCTGTTAAGTCCGCCCTTCTGCACTCTGAGATAAACAAAGCATATCAGCACTGGGAACAATCAGTCCATCTCAGTCCCGCAGGAAGGCTTCAAAGCAAGCGGAGAGACTGG